CAAAGCATCGGTTCGACCGAACTACTACGTTCTCCGTAATCCTATCCAACACCGAATCCCATTTACTGCAGTCTACTGAAGCAATTGCAATGCAAAGATGGAGGTCTATTTCGTGTAAGCCAAAGTAGTGATTCACTGCCATGGCGTTGCCTTGGTAAAAACCATGACAGTTACGAACTTATTAACGGTATTTCTATCAATTTATTGTGATTATGAATATTATATAACCTGATGATAACCGGATGAGATAAAGAGAAATATATCCGGGTGCAAATTGTTCAACCTAAATCTACTCTATTCTCCATTCTTCGTTATTGTTAGGCTCGATTGACATTTGTCAACTTTAGACATCTATGGTACCGTTGCAAACTCCGGCTTTCTGTGAACAGTCAGCTGTAGGCTGCAGCAGTTCGACTAATGCTGCTTCACGGTGCAGAGGAAACAGGATAAAGAGTGACTGCCGGTGTTCGAACACCATTGTCTACGCCGCATTGTACAGGTCTGGTGGGGAAACGCGACGTGCGGTTTTAGGTAACCGCTGCCGCCTACTTAAGCAACTGGTCGACTTCCATCAATGAAACTGATTGGGGCATGTGTTGCGCGTGTCACTAACTAGATTTATTGCCGTGGGTGATGTTTGCCGAGGCAGGTGCTGGTTGGAAAAACGTCAAGCTAAGACCTGGCATGAAAGTATGCAAGTCCTGACCAAGGTCATCAGTCATATAGGTCCCGTTAGGCTCGTTGGATGAGGACCTAGCGAACAGCGTAAGCAGTGGTTATAGAAACTGGGTGATATGGCTGTCATAAAAATTGGCGCTCGTGCATCTTCATGATCTCATTGCAATTCTCCATTTTCTCTTTGACACCGTTCAGTCAAATTGGCAATCTCAAGACAGTGAGAGGCGCCGCTTCACAAACGTTTGAAGATGACGGTTGTTAGAAAACTTAGGACTAAAATCTGGAATGTTTAACCTGCTCACTGTTGAGCTGGGATGAAATTCTGAATAGATGCTATTACCAATCTCCTACAGACGAAGGATTTTGCGTGTCATCACAAGCAAGTTTGATAATGGCGAGCTCCCGTGTTTGTCTGTATTATTCCACTCTTCTGTTCTTGCATCCACATAGGCAGCCTAAAGATTAAACAAAACCGCCGCACAAAATCTGAACTAAACATCTACAACATCCCTTCTCGATCTGACTTGCAGCTGCATCCGCTGCCTTTAAGTTATTTGTGTGCCGTCAATTTATTACTATAAAGAGGAGCTCCAACGGCATATCACAAAATCCCACTACCAGGAAACCAGGTTTTAACAGAGTAATTTTCAATCCAGATTATAAAAACGAAGCCAACCCATGGAACTCCATGCCTGTTCTTGTAAGACGGAGATGCGCTTTCATCTAATTTCATGTAGAGCAGTCCCATACTGAATGAAATTTTGGCGAATGGTATAAACATGAATTTTAGTGGATTGGCTTTGTGAGACGCGGTTAGACAACCATAACGTTGAATAATAATAATATAATACTGCGAAAGATAGATAGGTTAGTTTAGCACATTCAGGTAAGTAACATTCATCTACACCTTTTCCCATCAAGCTTTAGCCAAAACCCGCAATCCTTTAGCCAAAACCC